CCGGAATTCCGTGAAATACGGAATCGGTGGGAATTGGACGGAATTCCGAGAAATTCCTACCAATCCCGGAATCGGTGGGAATTAGACGCAATTTCCGGGAATTCCTAGGAATTCCTAGCGATTCTGTCTCGGACACAATTCCGGAATTAGTTGGTGGAGTTCCGGAATTAGTTGGATGAATTCCGGAATTAGTTAAAGGCATTCCGAAATTAGTTGGAGCAATTCTGCTAAGAATATGTTTTTCTTAAACATATCAGTCATGTAAGAATATGTCTTCCCTACAATATAAGAGCAAACAATGTTTCTGATTTTTTGGCAAAAAGCATACTTAGTGGCTTCGATAGTGGTTCCATCACGCTCGTTCTAACGAAGTAGAGGTTGCTCATTAAAAACCAATCAGTTCTTTGAATAGAGCGCTCGTTCATCGAATCAGAAATACCTTGCTTTTGGTTAAAAAATGAGTTACAGGGTATTTTCGTGACAGAATCACCATCATAAATGGACTACTTTTCGAATACAAATAACTTTCTCAAGGAGCGAGAGAATTTCGATCTTTTGCTGTAGCTAGGATACTTAACCGAGGCAGTTTTAGAACATGAGATTGGTTTTGAAAAAAAAATATTTGTTGGTATTAAAAGTTCCAAAATAAAGACTCATACTAAATATTAATTTTCACCGATTCAGAGTGATACTTGTTTGACAGCATTTATATTCTAAAATATACGAAGCTATTCAAATAAAAACTACGTTTTTCTAAGCCATCGACCGTGCTCTACAACATGGTCGTATTCACTGTGTTTCTTTTTGTGGTTCAATTTTTCTTGCAAAGGCGGATCGTTACGTGGATAACTTTTGAGAATTCTAGATTCTGGACGAGTATATTTAGATTTTAGAGAACATCACTTCTAGAATTAGAGGATACGTCTCAACAGGTTCGAATGGAAAACATTTCCCTGACACTTTACTTCGTTCAAATCAATTTCACTATTCTCACGAAATTCCAGTTAGATTGGCATTTGTCAAGAAACGAATATCTCTGAATCTTTTTAACAGGCATTCACACTGTACTCTGTTAGAAATGAATCGATTTGTCATCATTCAGTTGCGTTTGTTGAGTTCTATCAACCGATGTGTCCTTTGAATGGAATCCATGCAAAGTAATCGATTAAGAACTTAGAAATGGACTAAAATCGAAGCGATGAATCGTAGTAACGAGTAGGTCGGACGTTTCTGTACAAAACATTTATTCATTTGTGATCCGCTCAAAAGCGTTCTAGACGAGTGTAAACTGTCGATGAGAAGCAAAATCTAATGCTGTTTCCGAACAAGTCAAAAAGAAACTCTCGAAAATAATCACTGATCCGATTGAGTGTGACAATAATGGAGAGTTCTGAATCGACCGAGTGCTCATCGAGTACAACTCCAAACTTCGATCAAATTCATCGAACAAAGAAGAAAACGGTCAGTCAGTTGTGCCTGAAATGGTAGCAACTCCTTCTTGTGTTCGGTTGCTCCTCCAATCGACCTAGATCGTTGACAATCGGGAGCATTATCTTCTTTCTTTCTTTCGTTATAGCTCTTCCAAATATTCCCGTCAATGCTAGATGGACACGCAATGCTGTCACCATTGCTGGAGGCTATGGTCGTGGCAACGCATTCAACCAACTTTGCCTTCCTCATGGTCTCTATATGGATGATGATCAAACTGTCTTGGTCGCTGACTATGGCAATCATCGTATTGTAGAGTGGAAATGTGGTGCAACGAGTGGTAAAGTGGTGGCCGGTGGAAATGGAAAAGGTAATCAGATCGATCAGTTGAATCATCCAACAGATGTGATTGCTGACAAAGAGACAGACAGTCTCATCATCTGCGATAACGGAAATCGACGGGTGATACGATGGCCTCGTCAAAGTGGTACAAGCGGAGAAGTAATTCTTGAGAATATCGATTGCGAAGGGTTGACAATGGACGATCAGAGACTTCTTTACGTCTCTGATAGAGAAAAGCATGAAGTGAGGCGATATCGAATAGGAGAGATGCATGGAACATTGGTGGCGGGTGGCAATAAGCAAGGTAGTGGCCTCAATCAACTCGACAGTCCTTCTTACGTCTTTATCGATCCAGATTATTCTGTTTACGTGTCTGACAGGGATAACCATCGTGTGATCAAGTGGATCAAGGATGCAAAAGAAGGGATTATTGTCGCTGGTGGTCAAGGTGAAGGACATTATCTCACACAACTGCATCGTTCGCGAGGACTCTTCGTCGATCCGTTGGGCACAGTCTATGTGGCAGACAGTTGGAACAGTCGAGTGATGCGTTGGTGCCAAGGAGCAACAGAGGGTACTGTCATTGTTGGTGAAAATGATGTAGGAGAACAAGGAAACCAGTTGAATATTCCTGTGGGTTTGGCATTCGATCGACACGGCAATCTCTATATCATCGATTGTAACAATCATCGAGTTCAACGATTCTTAATCGAAGGGATGAATTAGGGTTGGCACCCAAGATAGAAACAAGGATCTGTGAGGTAGTGATTTAAAACGAGTTTACGTGATTGTTGTGAGTTATTTTTATTTAAAATGATTTTCACGAATTAAAACGAATTAATCTTATTTAAAATGATAGGAACGGGTTTTCGACTGATGAATTATGAATCATTTAAGGTTATCGTCAATTATATAACAAATAGTTCAAATTTAAAGTAATCGTGCTCAGTTTTGTTTCGACTCGTGATCAGGGTGTGGGTGTGGGTGTGGGTGTTAGCTGTGACACAGAATTACCTGCAGCCACACCCACACCCACACCCACCCACACCCACACCCACACCCACCCACACCCACACCCACACCCACACCCACACCCACACCCACACCCATACCCACACCCACACCCACACCCACACCCACACCCACACCCACACC